ATATTTATCATGATTATATTGGTCAACAATTTAATTCCATTACACTTAAATGACATTAGTTATACAAATCATCAACATGAAGTCATCAGATATGGGTTATTTTTCTTAGACTTACAACATAACTCTGAATTGTTCTTTTCCAAACTTAGTGATATAGTTTATTCCCAGACTTAGAATACAACTCTAAACTCCTCTTCAGAGTTACGTTTATGAGTTATAAGAAATCAAAATTCTTGTGACTTAGAGTTATGCTCATAGATATTTTCTAGACTTAGAAGACAACTTTGAATTCCTCTTATTTAGAATTAAGTCGGGAGTTATTTTCCAGTCTAACAATAGAATTTCGAATTCTTGTGTTTTAGAGTTAATGTTCAGAGTTTTCTTTCAGAGTTAATGTCCAGAGTCTTTCTCATTTAATAAGAGCCAAGGACAATCATTATCAAAAGTTGGTTTATTTCTAAGACAACGAAAATTTTATACAAACTTGTAGCATTGGCTAATTTTAGCAATTAACTCTTGAAACGAACTTCACACTTGTACCCAGATTGGTCGTCTTGATTTAGAAGTTTTGCAACGCTAGATATTGTCCGTCGTGAACTTTGAAGGATTTCTTAGCCCTTGTGTTTGTCAAGTCTGATTTCGTCCTTCATACAGAGCTTAACAGAGGTTATGCACGTGCTATGCGGTCAATATGAACCAGACTTCGTGTTTCATGCAGAGCTGCACAGAGGTTCTGCATTTAAGTCTTGAGAAAGAGCTCTGTCTCTTCACGTAATGCGTCGAGGCTCTGTCTCTTACTCCGAAGATGGCCTTCAGACTTGTAACTCTGAATAGTTTCCGTCTTAATCTCTGGAAACTTTCTTCACGCTTGTGTCCTTGAAGCCTGATTTCGTTCTTCATACAGAGCTTAACAGAGGTTCTACAAGTGCTACAGGGTCATTCTGACCCTGCCTCCGTCCTTCATACAAAACTTCATAAAGGCTCTGCATGTACTACCCAGAGCCTCTGATTCTCTTTGCTTGTCTCATACAGAGGTATACAAAGGCTCTGCATGTACTACGCAGCGCTGCATATTGGATCTACATTGTTCGTCTTCATTTAGAAGTTTTTCTGATCATTGAAGCACATGCCGTCCTTTGTATATGTAACATTTAATTCTCGAGTAAGAGCATCTTTATATAAAAAATTTAATTGGACTTGTACCTTTGTCTAAATTTATAAATTATCTCCGATTCTTTATAAAATACATATCAGTTTCGTTTAATTTTTGTCATTAACCCGTGTAATACACG